GAGGTCATCCAGCTAGGACAGAGATGAGGATGATTCTTTTTTCTTTCAGAGGGTAATGAGTCTGTGGAATTCCTTACCATAGCAGGTTGTTGAGGGTGGATCGTTAATTATATTCAAGGTTGAGATATATATTTTAACCAGTAAAGAAATCTAGGGTTATGTGCAGAAGGCAGGAAAGTGGAGGTGAGGATTATCAGATCAGCCATGGTTGTTGGAGCGGATTGACGGACCAAATAACTTTCTTCTGTTCCTACGTCTTATGGTCTTCTCTTCTTCCATATGGAAATCACAGGATTACTGAATTTACCTGGCAAATTGGTAATTCTATGTAATTCAAAGACAATAATTTCCTTAGTCATTAACTCTAGTAAGAGGAGGGGGTTTGTTAGTTAGCTCAGTTGGCTGGATAGCTGGTTTGCAGTACAGAATGACACCAATAGTATGGGTTCAATTTCTGTGCTACCTGAGGTTACGATGAAGGACCCTTCTTCTCAACCTCTCCCCTTACCTGAGGCATGGTGACCCTAAGATAGGAAGGTTAGATCACATGGAATCCAGGGAGAGCTAGCCATTTTGATACAAAATTGGTTTGAAGGCAGGAGACAGATGGTGGTGGTGAAGAGTTGCTTTTCAGACTGGAGGACTGTGACCAGCAGTGTGCAGCAAGGATTGATGCTGAGTCCACTGCTTTTTGTCATTTATATAAATAAGTTGGATGTGAAGGTAGGAGATACAGTTAATAAGTTTGTAAATGATACCAAAATTGGTGATGTCGTGGACAGTGAAGAAGGTTACATCAGAGTACAATGGGACCTTAATCAGATGGGTCGATAGGTCGAGGAGTGGCAGATGGAGTTTAATTTAGATAAATGTGAAGTGTTGCATTTTGGTAAGGCAAATCAAGACATGATTTATACACTTAATGGTAGGGTCTTGAGGAGTGTTGCCGAACAAAGAGACCTTGAGGTGCAGGTTCATAGTTCCTTGAAAGTGGAGTTCATGTACACAGGGTAGTGAAGAAGGCATTTGGTACACCTGTCTTTATTGGTCAGTGCATTGAATATAAGAGTTGGGGTATCATTGTTGTGGCTGTACAGGATAATGGTTAGGCCACTTTTGGAATACTGTGTTCTAGTCTCCCTGCTATAGACCAGATGTTATTAAACTTCAAATGGATCAGAAAAGATTTACACGGATGTTGCTGGGCATGGACGGTTTGTTCTTTGCGGAGAGGCTGAATAGTCTGGGGCTATTTTCCCTGAAGTGTTGGAGGCTGAGGGATGACTGTTATAGAGGTTTTTAAAATCATGAGGGGTATGGATAGGATGAATAGCCAAGATTTTTTTTCCCAGGGTAGGGGAAACCAAAACTAGAGGGCATAGGTTTACGGTGAGAAGAGAAAGATTTTAAAGGTTAACATTTTCATGCAGAGTGTGGTGCATCCATGGAATGAGCAGTCAGGTGAAAAGTTGTGGAGGCTGGTACAATACTCAAAAGGCATCTGGATGGGTACGTGAATAGGAAGGGTTTAGAGGAGTACGGGCCAAATGCTGGCAAATGTGAATAGATTGATTTAGGATATCTGGTTGGCATGGACGAGGCAGACTGATGGGTCTATTTCTGTGCTGCATAACTCTATGACTACAGTTCCAATAAAAGTTGGACTTTCAGATCTTCGTAAAGAGTATACCCAAATGTTATATGTAGATTAAAAGAATGTTTCTTTAAAATGCATTCTTGGAACATTAGTATCACTGGCAAGGCCCATTTATTGCTCATCTCTAATTGCCTGTAGAAAGATGGTGGATGAGTAACTTCCTGTGCTACTGCAGTCCTTCAGGTGTCCTTACAATGCTGTTGGGAAGGGATTCAGAGACTTTGAAGTAGCCACAGTAAAGGAACAGAGAGTTCAAAGTCAGAATGGTCTGTCCTGAAGGGGAACCAGCAGCTGGTGGAGCTCCCTTGCATCTGCTGCCATTGTCCTTCTGGTTGGTAGAGGTCATTGGTTTGGAAGGTGTTGTTAAAGAGTCTTGCTGAGTTCCTGCAGTGCATCTTGTAGATGGCACACACAGCTGTCACTGTCTGTTGATTGTGGAGAGATTAAATATTGAAAGTGTGGAATGGGGTGCCAGTCACATCTTCGTGAATTTTGTTGGAGCTGCTCACAACCAGGCAAATGGAGATTCTTCCATCACACACAATATTAACCTCAGGGTGTTGATAGTGGCAGATTCAGTGATGGACATGCCATTGAACATCAAGAGAAAATGATTGAATTCTACCTTTTTTGGACATAGTCATCGCCTGGCATTTGTGTGACACATCTGTTACTTACCACACGAGCCCAAGCCTGGATGCTGTTCGGGTCTTGCTTCATATGAACCAGTGCTCAAAATACACAAAGGCAGTGGGCAAGTTTTTTCTCCTGAAAGCGATCAAATTGCTGACGAAAATTTAATCAAGGTTGTGACCAACCTTGGAAAAGTCTCACCCCACCCATATGTCAGAGAGACCAAATCTGTGTGGAGTTGTGCCTCCAGTCATTGAGTATGACCTTCTCTTGCTCCACTCAGATTCCCTCACTCAAGGGACAGAGTCTGTGATTGGAGGAGCAGCAAGGTGGGAGTGAGTGAACTGTGGCTGGAGCAAAGCTGCACAATGTCCCGGCCAAAGCTGCAGTGGTTTGTGAGTGACTCAGGGAGGAGTGCAGTGAGATGAGCCCAGATCCTAAACTGGGAGGGTCTGACTTGAGTTAACCTGAGGTTGTAGAAAACTCTAAATATCAGCAAAAAGAAAACTCCTCTTTTGAATCAGTTGGCGATCAAATCTTTTTCAATCGTTAGCTCAGGACAGTCACGTACCTCCGAAGCTTTGTAATAAGGTTTCATTAAAAGGACCCATGTCTAAGTAGATTAAGGCTGAGCTATTATAAATCTAACTGGTTCAAACATGGTTATAGTCATGAGTATTGCTTTGCTTGCTTATTTGTTTATTTAGCTTAATAAAACTGTATCGTCTACAAAGAATAATTTAGTAGAAAAATAATCCACCAAGAGTTGAGTTTGAGACTTGGAGACTGCAATCTCTGGATATCCAACTAATTTGTTTCATTCTTCTTGCATCAACAAATTGTTGTGCAGACGTTTTCTTTAAGAGAAAAAGAATGTGATAGAATCCAATATTACATGGATTATTTTTTCGTCTGTAAAAGGTGAATGGAAACGATGATGCTGTTGAGTGAGTGAGGGTGTTGAGGTTTGAGTGAAGGACATAGATGATTCAGATTCATTTCAAGGTGTGGGTGGGGTGAATGGGCTGATGAGAAAGTGTGCAAAACCAAATGTATAATGTTTATATGACATTTAACCTGAGGAAATGCTTGGAATCATTTCATTTAAAACTAGTTGACAGGTTTTCAATTGGAAACTCCTGTGCTAACTCATCATTGAATAAATTTGAAACATTTAACATCAACTTTGTCACTTCATGATCCCAATTTGGTAACAGATTATGGACAATTTATTGACAATAATTAACAAAATATCATATGTATAGATCCAACCTTAAAATGGACAGGAACTTATCCAATTTTTCGTATTTATGCTATCTCATCCACGTAAAGATGAATACCGTAAAAATAACACAATTGGAGAAGGTAATGCTATTAGGTGAGTATGAAAAATTAGAGAGAAAGAAACAAAGTAGCACTAAAAACACAAAAGGTGGCCCTCAAAAATATCTCAGAATGCTCTGGAAAAGAAATGAGCCCTGCTTTGGACGTGAACTGCTTCAGTATCTGTGGAGATGTAAATGGTACTTAACATTGTGCAATCATCAGCAAATACCCCCACTTCTGACCTGATGTTAGAGGGAAGATCGTTGATGAATTAACTGAAGATGGTTGGGTCTGGGATCCTACCCTGAGGAACTCCTGCAGAGATGTCCTGGGACTGAGGTGATTGACCTCCAACAACCACAACCATCTTCCTTTGTGCTAGATGTGATTCCAACTAGTAGAGAGGTTTTCCCCAATTCCCATTTCCTCTACTTCTTCCAGAGCTCCCTGATGTCATGCTTAGAAGGCAGTCATCCTCACCTAAACTGTGGAGTTGACCTCTTTTGTTCATGTTTGGATCATGAAGTCAGGAGCTGAGTGGCCCTGGCAGAACCCAAACCATCATAACTATATCTAAAGTGACACATTTAATCTATGCACAATAACGAGCTAATTGGAATTTCATCTTAAATAAACTTGTTTAGTTTTTGGGTTTAAAGATATTTCTTCATGATATTTTATCTAATATTATCAAAAAGTCATCTAATGATAATAATATTGAGAAAAAAGAAAGATTTTACTAAATGTTACAATGTTGTATATGGAATTGAGCTTGATGGCCCTACAGGAATGCTGTTTTGTAATTCAAAATGCAGTTCCTGTAGAATTTTTATTTGGATCTAATTAGATCCTTTGGGGTCATTGTATAAATTCTCCAGAGCTATTTTGTAAGTATATTGTGTAATTTGTGAATACACAATGAAGTTCATTATTAGGCTTAATTAATTACATTCATTATTGCCACTTTATTATCTTAAATTCTGCAGCATGCATTGGGGATAGAGGTTCCTGTACATATGTGTTGGTGATTGAAGTGAACAAGGAACAAGTGTAGATAATCGTTGGATATTCTTGCTAATGGTTAAACTTTGCATATTCCTCTTCAGTGCAAAAGCTAAAACAGGTTGAATCTCTGAATATTTTCTAGTTATCTGCTTCTGTTTCAGTGATACTTCTGTCAAAGTTGCAACCAGCAACTGTGAGAACCCCATGGAACAGCTCACCTGCAAATGACAGACACAACACCTTTAGGAGAGATTAATAACATTTGACTTCCATACATTTGATAGGTCAGCTGGTAAAATCTGAATTGTGTGGGAGTCACAAAGAAGCTATTCCTTGCCACCCAACCTGCCGCACAATAATCATTTTATTTACTCTGCAGGTTTTTTGTTTTATTACCATGTTCATGGTCGTGCGATGCTTGACATTCATGTGCACATCCTGCTATTGGTGGCAGTGTTTGGCGGTTCCCTTAGCATCTTTCTTGAAGTCTTCCTCCGGGGCAATATAGTACTGGAACTTTTGAGGACAAGCCTTTGTATACTGCAGGGCAGCTGGTTCTGGCAGGTAAGTAATTTTTTTGGTTTGAATTTCCCCTCTCCCTTCCATAAACTATTAGCACTTATGCTTCCCAAAATCCTCAAATTCTACTGTCAAACCAGGAAAACAGAATAAGAGACAATGACTGGTTAACACTGGTGAGAGAAAACAAACAAACATAAAGTTAGTAGTAAGAGAGGAAGCAAGGATAAAGGAGCAAAATTAAATTTGTGGCAATAAATTGTTCATTATCAACACCCTATTCATAGGCTAGGGTGTGAAACACACAGGCGAGAAACCCAATCTCTGTAAGGCCATATGAAATTTGACCCAATTTTTGCTGTTCTAACAGCCATAACCTGCAGAATGGGAGTCACAAATTTATGGCAAAAATGTAAGGAGATAACACCTATTTAAATGTTGTGTGCTGAATTATTTCTAGCCCTAGCCCTTTAAAAATATTTTGTATAAACTAGGTTGCATCAGACAGAGTAAAACAAAATCACACATTTCGAGAACACATAGGTTGAAAGGACATCTGGTGGAGCTTGGATTAAAAATATACCATTTGCTCCCAAAGTTTCAATAGATATTATTCTTACCATTTCCCAAGGAATGTAGTTAAAGCAAAGAGCTTAAAGCACTTCTCTTAGTGGAAGGGCTGTGATCACATTTTGAATTACAATAGTTTTTTATTCATTCATGGAAAAATGCTAAACTAGCATTTATTTTCTATCCTTGATTGCCCTTGGGAAGGTTGTGATGAGCTGCTTTCTTGAACTGTTGCAGTCAATGGGAGTTAGGTACATCCACAGTGCTGGTAAGAAGGAAGCTATTGGATTTTGACTGAGTGAAAAGGCCGTTAAGGGATTAACTGTCCTTGATGTAGTTATCGGATAGAAGTTTGTTTGCTCTCTATTACAGATTGACCACTGAGAGGATTTGAAATCCTTGAAAGGGTTAATGTGTAAGAGTACTTCTCTCTGTCAAGTTTATCTAAATGAGAACACTAATAGAGCTTTAGAGGTTCTTTTTTTTCCCATTGCCATGAGATCTGTCCATAATGGACATTGGCTGAGTGGATATGGAGGTGTTGTGGAAGGTATTAAGTGGCATGGACTTGAGGTATTAGGTGGCTTGGCTAATGAGGGGCAATCAGGGATGGGTAAAGACTTTTACAAAGCTGGGATGAAACGTCAGAGAATGAAGGTGGACATTCCAGCCTCAGCATTCACCCGCTTCCCTGGCTGCCTCCGGTTATCAACTTGCCTCCACTCCTGAGGAATGAGAACTACATGAGGCCAGTTTGCCGAGTTGGGTGATTTCCTGACTTTCCTGCAGCTACCGACCTGCAATTAAAAACCCAGCTCACACTGTTCACCTGAATCTGAAATGATTCAAGATTTCCGCTATGTTGCCAAGTTAGCCCTACCAATTGTTTTGATTGCTCTTTGTGTGATGAGGAATCTCCAGTTATCAGTCTTCAGTCTCTATGTGCAACTGCGTGGTTTAGTTTGACGTAGTATTTTCAATTTACCTGCTCTATAAAATACTCTTTTAAGGTCCATTCTGAATCATACCCTTTCTGTTGTTTTAACTATCCAGAATCCAGTTTTCCTTGATTCCTGCTTGGCAATGATTAACTTTGAGTCAGGAATTTATCCATAAACTGTAGGTGACCAAAGGGTGAAAACACCTATTAAATGGGTATAGTGCTGATAAGAGCAGTGGTTTCAAAGTTTGGATTCAGAAAACGATTTCAGTCCTAATTACTGACTAGCATAATTTGACTTTGCCTGAAGTTTCTAAACCATAAATCTGCAGGTGTAACTCTCAAAAGCCAAGTGCTCAAAAGCTGATTAAATGTCATTTTTGTGGAGCAGCACATGTGAGCTAAACTAGCATTTCAGTTTACAACTTGACCAGCTTGATCAATTTGGAGGCTTTTTGACCCTTAAGTTATTCAGCAAAAATCAATCCCTGGATCTTTTAAATCCTTAGCCCTAGAAATGGTTTGCTGCATCTGCCTGCTAGACTTTCCCAAGCAATTCGCCAATAACGAGAATTTCTGATGGGGCAGCTAACTGAGACTTTGTGGAAAGTATTGTGGTAGAGGAGTGGTTAGAGAGGGTGAAGCTAAGGGAATTAAAGAATGCAAGTGCAAAATACTGCAAATACTGGGAATCTGTAATCAAATGTGAACTGCTGGAAATGCTCATCAGGTCATGCAGTATCTTTGGAGAAAGAATTTAAAGGATTACTAGTTAGGCCATTTCATCCTATGGGTCCTTGAGCATCAATGAGAATATGAACATACCACTCCGATTTACAGTTGAAAAAGTTGGTGTTGAAAATATGCACCAAAAGTGTAGATTTTCTACACCAGTGTCTTAATCATAACTTGCTGGGGCAGATCTGATAGAATATGCCTGATTTTTACTCCATGTGATCCCATCAAATTATTAGTTGTACAGTGAGGACAAAAGTCTAATCTACTGCTTCAAGCTGTCATTTGAGTAACAAACATATTAATATGACTCATTCTCCAACACTATTATTCAGACCTCAATGAATATGCTGACTTGAAAAATAATGGTTATTTAGTATTTTTATGCACTTAGTACTGTACATAACAGTAGGGAGGTATGTGTACTGTGTTTCAAACCTTGTGGAGTTGAGACATTTCAGTGCTCACTTCTGTCAGTGATACGATAATTAGATGTAAGATGTAGTAATTACCTTTAAAATCACAGCCCAGTCTTCACATCATCCTTGCTTTTGTCTAGGTTGCTCTTTCCATTCTTCCTAGACATAACACATTCCTCCAGGGCAATTTAGCCTGAAAGTAATAAAAGTAGAACAAGAGCAATAGTTTGGAATCTGGTGAATTTATACTCTATTAATTGAACTCCATTTTATGATCTAAATTTAAACATCTTCAAAGAAGTTGCAATCTCAGAAAGTGCATGTTAGAATATGTTTGTTTTTTTTATTTGATTTATTATTGTCACATGTACCTAGATACAGTGAAAAGTTTTGTTTTGCTTGCAGTTTCTCTGATGAGAAATGTTGCATAATATTTTGTGGGACTTCAACTGATTTTTGTTCATTTAATGCCAGTGGTGAAAATGTCCTGAACACATTTTAAATGCAAGTTTTATGTCATTTCATTAAGATTTCCAATTCCCTGTTTTAATAAAACGTTTCTTTCTATTTAGAATCTTCCTTAGATTATAGACATGATACAGGTTACCATTGGTAGTATGATAAAAAACATGAAATCACAATCATCGTTAAACCATGGAGTCTGTAGTTTAAAGGGGTTTAGAGTATCTACATAAAATATTGTGTTGAATTAGAAAGTAGTTCATCTGATTGTTTTAATCTGTAGGGATTTTGATTGTTTTCACATGGCTAATGTTACTTGCATGTTTTGCATATTTTGTAATTTTCCCTTATTTTTCAAACATTCAATAGAGAACAGCGGCATAATTTACATCTGAATGTTCCACGGAAGAGACAGGGAATACAACATCCTGTCATAGTACAACAGAGGCCGCCTATGTTTTAAATGAGTGCTGATGATGAGCACAAGTCTGTTATTTTTTAATTATGTTAACTAATAATTAATGTTGCAAGCAAATGCAGGAAACCATGGCAATCCAGACGAAGTAATTTGGTATCTAAACTGCCCTTTCCCTTCCAGTTGTACTGTTCTTATGTCTGTTTTGATGGGCTCACTGCCAAGTTTTGTGAAACCAGATGGCAAGGAGATAATATCACATATACAGGAATTATTCCTGAACCACACTAAACATTACTTAATAAAAAAAAAGTGAAAATCATTAGGTCAGTACATTTGTTTAACTGTTTAATTATATTTGTGTGTTTGTTTTCACAACCTTGCTTGGTAGCTTGGTAATTCTTGGTCTAAATTTAACATTTATTTGCACACTATATATGCACTTCAAATATATTTTAAAAATATTAATAAAATTCCTTCAGATCAATATGTTTCATAAAATATTTTTTGGGTATCAAGGAATCTCACTGTTCTTTTGGCTTCTCCCATTTTACTTGGGACCACCACAATGCTGGTTGGTCACCATTCTCCATCTCTGCCTGTCAGTCACCCAGCCCTCATCCATTCTTCTCCGTTTAAGTTTCTTGCTATTTCATCTTTCCATTTGTCCTTAGACCTTTCTGTTCTTGTTCCTAGTAGTCCCACCTTCATCACTCACCACATAATCTTTCCTCTCTCTTTCTGCAACAGATGGCCTTCCATTTGAATCTCCAATTTCTCTTATTCTCCCACAAGCCTCACTGACCTCCTGATGTGCTGCTTCCTGATTTTATCTTCTCCTAACACTCAACAGAGCTAGAGTGGTGCAGCAGGAGCGTGCTGGGCCCAGAAGTCAGAAGTTGATGGATCAAAGTCATCCCCTGCCATTTTTTTGGGTGGCTCAGTGGTTAGCACCACTGCCTCACTGCGCCAGGGACCCGGGCTTTAATTCCAGTCTTGGATGACTGTCTGTGTGGCACTTGCATGTTCTCCCTGTGTCTGTATGGATTTCTGCTGGGTGCTCCTCCCAGAATCCCAGGGTTTGGAGAGATATTGGCCAAATGCTCGCAAATGGGACTAGATTAATTTAGAATACCTGGTCGGCATGGACGGGTTGAATTAAAAAGTCTGTTTCTGTGCAGTACACCTCTATGACTCTATGTGCAGGTTAGGTGGATTGGCCATGCTAAATTGCCCCATTGTGTCCAGGGATGTGCAGGCTAGGTGGATTAGCCATGGGAAATGCAGGGTTACAGGGTTAGGATTGGGGAGCTGGGTCTGGATGGGATATACTTCAGAAGATCGGTACAAACTCAATGAGCCAAATAGAATCCCTATAGTGCAGAAAGAGACTATGAACGTATCCAGCATTTAGATCTTATTAGCATCCAGTTGCTGTTCCTCTCTTCTAGATATTGCTCAATTTTCTGCATGATATCGCAAGGCTGGTTTCAAACTTTTTTTTTTACCCATAATACTAAACTGTACTCCTTCCAATTACTCCAACCAGACCTAACCTATCACTTAATTTCCCCTTCTGTACTTGCATTTTCTGCTGTCACTGATCCAGGTGCTTGAAACTACTTCCTTTCTCCAAGTCTTCATCAAAAATTTTTAAACCTTCACTCTGACCCTCTTGCCTGGCTCAACCTGACCACCATAAATTGGATCTTTGCTCTACTGAACTTCATGCTTCTTTCTTTTCTCTTCTTCCACAGAGACTTGGTAATGTTTTCATCACACCACCATGTATCTCAATTTCATTTTCAAAATTATTGACCATTGCTCTTCCTGTCTCACTTGTTCATTTGGAACATCCATGTTATTCAGGATGTGGAAGGCATTCACTGCTGATCCTTGGTGCAATCTAACTTTGGCTTTCAAACTGTCACTGTCCCTCACACTCCCTCTTACTCTTGTCTGGGACTCCATGTATATGTCCTCTAATAGTTATACTTACTCCTCTGAGACTGCAGTGGTTCTAGCCAATTTCCAGACTTCCTCCTGAGGCACCCATTCACAAACCTTCTCTAGATTAATGCATGTTGTATTGGTCTGTATGATACTACAGGAATATGACTGCAGAATGTACTTTTATCTCAGTTTATACATTATTGATCAGTTTCTGTTCTCTAATTACACCATATTACTTTTGGACTTAGTGAGGAAAGTATCGTTAGTAAACAATAATTATCATGCTAAAATAGTGTATTGGTTCCTTAAAGAGAAACTTAGTTTATAGCTATTGGTGAAATCTAAAAATAATTACAAATATCTTCCATCTCTTTAACCCAGATTATTTCATTCATTTTTTAGATTGGATTTATTCTGTATCCTCCAAATGGAAGCCCTGAATGGGATCAAACTAGTCATGACAATATGATGTTTATTACCATGTGCTATTGTTGGCATTACGCTATTTCACTCCTCATTGTGGCTCTTAGCTATGCAATTGTCAGTTGGTGAGTACATGTTTTTTCCCCAATCTCATAGCTGAACACTGAGGGACTTACATTCCTGTGGAATGTACTGCATAGGCTAATATGTAAAGTGTCTCTGAGGTGCTATTTTATCATGTTGATTAACTTATTGGATTAACAGTTGTATGCGAAACCCTTTTTTTCAGAAATGTATTAACCTGTACAGCACCAGAGCAAATTCAATGTCTAAATTAATGTCTTTCAAGGAGAGCTAGTGCTTTATAAAGAACTGAACAACCTGCATGGTTATCCAACTTCCATAACACTTTGAAGACTGCAACAGTATATCTTCACCAAGATTAGAAAAAAAAATGACTGTCTTTATAATTTTGCTAATTTTAATTGAAGCGCTAGCTCGGTTACTGGGCAGTAGTGGTGAAATGGGTAGGGACAGAGACACAGAATAGTGGCTCTGAGAAGGAGGCAAAATTAAAAATTGAGGACATATGTGGCAGACTTTCCTTTTTAATGAGACTGATGAATATTGGACTATTGTCTTCCAAATCATCTTGTTTAAACTACAGAGCCCACACCATGCATTTGTAACAATGTAGAGTCAGGCCTTTGTTGACGCACAACAACTTATAACGTGCCATTAACTTAATAACTGATAAAAAGTTTCACAGGAACATTATAAAACAAATATGACGTTGAGCAGCATAAAGAGATATTAGATCTGGCCAGATGACCAAAAGCTTAGTAGATGAAGATTTTAGGAAAGGCTTAAATGAAGAAAGTGAAGTAGAGAGGAAATGAGTATTTTCCAGAATTTACTGCCATCATACTTCATGCTTCAGCAGGATTCCGGAATGATTGCCTTTATACAGTGGTACACTCAAACTTCAACCCCATTTCTTTTCTTTGGTCGTGACCTTAGATGCATGCTCTCAATGAGTCATGATGTGGAGATGCCGGTGTCGGACTGGGGTGGACAAAGTCAGAAGCCACACAACACCAATTAATAGTCCAACAGGTTTATTTAAAATCACAAGCTTTCAGTGCACTGCTCCTTCGTCAGGGTGAAGCAAAGTTACATGCTGGTGACAATATAACCAATCAATTCTGATGAAGCAAAAAAAAGACACACCACTAAAATAAATTTGCTCTTCCAAATCCCTTCTAATTATACCATTAAAATGGTTACATTGCCTTATTTGGCTAAGTAACATTCTTGCAAACAACAGTGATGTGATAGGCATATTACAAACTTTGCTGAATGCCTTTATTCAGACATTGCATTTTTAAAATGAATTTTCGACATCTACTTGCACGATACATGACTTAAAGTTATATTTTTCAATAGGAAGGTATTTAGCTTATTGTGTATTGGTCATAACTTAATGTGTGTGCCTCAGAGGCTGCTCAGGGTTGTCAGGTAATGAGGACAATCCAATGCAGAGTTCCAGTGACTGGAAACAGTTATACATTTGGATTAGTATTTCTAAAGTTTTCCGTGTAATTTTAGAATTATTAGATGTAAAATCATGGGAGAATCCACCCAAATTGCAGTGATCTGTTCTGTTGTCAAAGCTCTGGCCTAAAAGAAATAAAATTGGCTAAATTTTCTGCAAAATTGGCTATGCACCAATTTAGGGGAGTTTCATGAAGGGTTTCTCTCTGTGAGCTCTAGCAAGTTGTTTTATGCAATTCTCAGCTTTTCCACCCCAATAAATATGCCCCATGCTACTACACCACTGCCCTCACAGAGCTTGCACTCATTAGCAGTAGAAGTGCTTGCTAATGCTGGGAGCTTGCAGCTTACCTGCTGCTGGTGCCATGTATAAAGACCAGTTGCCAGCCAGGATTGGAAGCATAGAGGAGTAAGCCATTCATCCCTTTGAGCCTGAGGATTACACACCTTGGACTTTGAGACTTGGCTGTTTGGTTGAAGCACATTCAGTGTGGTTGCTGTGTAAGCTACGAATACATATAGGTATCATATTGGTGTAGCACAGTGCCATAGCAACACATCCTTTCCCTTGACAGTTCAGACTGGCAAACACAACAAGCTGCCTGAGTTTGTGTCTGCACTAAAAGGCAAGACAAGGCAAGTCAGAAGTACCGTAAAAAACTGACTGCCTGTACCACATTACTCATTTATTTGATAAGCAGAATGTACTTTTGGCTTGATGGCAGAGTCCTGATAGTGGCAAATGCCACTCCTGTTGCTGTTGCTTCACCTGTTGCTCAAATGTTTGAGATACCTTACCTTCCAGGTTAATCTGGCCACTTCTAAGGGCCTAGACTGATGACTTTAGTGGCTTTCATGAATTTAATTGATATAGACTTGTAGACTCATTGGTATTTACAGTGCAGAAGAAGGCTATTCAGCCCAAAGTGTCTTTACTCGCTAACAAAGATCTGTCTTCACCATTTCCATTTTCCAACTTCTGGTCCATGGCCCTGGAGGCTATCCACCCAATTTATGCCCCTCATAACCTAATACACCTTTCTTAGGGCCCCTCTCAAGATTCACTGTTCGAGGAAAAACAGTAAGATATACAGTTGTCATGAATTCTGATGCTGCAAGAAATGATCTGATCAGTGTAGCTATTATCCTGCAGGCTGACTTTGATGCTCCCTATTTTAGCATCAAGGTGATGGCCTTATTTTTTTGTAGACAGAACATGCACATGTGCTATGCCTATTTCAACTCAGCAAAATAGGTTTCATCCATTTTTTGGTTCATGCCTTGTGGCAATGCCTAGACCACTCAACTTGTCGGGTTTGAAATTCAGACAAAGCCTGGCAGTTAACAGTCAATCATCATTAACATCTGCAGTCCCCATTGGCAATGCCTGTCCTAATCACTCGCCAAACAATCAGTAATCTTCTCTCATAAAGTATAACTGTTGGCTATCCCCTTCACTTGTATTCTTGAAAATTATCCTGATGAGTTTCATGGTTTGTAGGAAATAACTTATTATTATTCATGTTTGTGCTACTGACTGTTACACTAATCACAATTGGGAAGTGTTTCTGGTACTGCCAACACACTGGGCATTGTGTGTGTATTTCTAAACCATTCTGTTTCAATTGGGACATCTCCCTCTAAATGTCAAAAACTGCATCAATACACATGACAATTAATTTGCTACAAAATCACTTGCTAACCCAAACACCAACTCTAAAGCCTACCCTTTCAACACATTTTACATACAACTGTTTATGTCACAAAGGACTAATGACTGATCATTTTTATTCTATGCAACACCATTATGCAATCAGAGACAATGGAAAGCTAAAACTATGAACAAGGGGACACAAAATTGTTGAAATGAAAATTGATTGTATTTGATGCAATACATATTACTTAATTCAAAAAAGACCATAATAATTCTGCCCCCCCTAGAGTCAAAATACATATTTTCACATAAAGAAGAATCTTCCTTGCCATTTTTCATGAACTATCATTTCAGTTTTTGAAATTGGAAGTAGGACGAATTCCTCCCCAGGCACTTCAGTACATATATGCTAGAATCTTAGGAAACCTAAAACCATTCCAGTGTTTTTAGTTTGCGCAGGTTTCAACATGAAAGCAGGAAGAATCAGTTAGCAAGAATTGTTTAAAAATATCTTGTAGGTTGTGAGCACAGGGAATGGCTAGCAGACGTTTGCCATCCCTATTTATCCTTGAAGAGGTAGTGTGAGCTTCCTTTCTTGAACCCCTGCCATCTATCTTGTGGAGGTCCATCAATGATGCGGTTCAGAAGAGAGTTCTGGGTTCTTTACCCAGCAACTGTGAAGGAAGGGCAATATATTTCTAAGTCAGGATCATTTGTGACTTGGAAAGGAACTTGGCGGAATAGCCAGCAAGGAGTTAAAACAGAGTTTGGAATGACTGGTAAATTTAGATAAATATAAGCAGTGTAACACAGTGAAATCAACAATCAATTTTTTTAAGCTTCAAACTTAAATTTTTAATACTATTCCATTCATAGTCCAAAGGCAGATAGCAGAGTGATGGGCACCCTATATTTTTAAAGATAATTTGCGATGATTTCAGTCATTATCAATCACACCATCATCAATTTCACCAAATTTACGTATATCCTTTATATGTTTGTAGGGTGATTCATACAAAGTTAAAAAAGGTCGAGCCTCTGGAGATGGGACTGTTGAAGTCATCAGAAAAAGATCAAGAAGTTGAGGATGAAATATAGCCTGATAAATATTGTAGTTTGCTACCATTATGCCTTCTTTATGTATATATTCTTATAGAATCTTTAATATTTTCTGATGTTAAACCCTTTCATAAGCCTAAACCTGTGTCTACAAAGGAGCAAATGTATTCAACAATATCTGTTTTGGATTGAAATGGGTACATTTCTTTTACTGCTGTCTTTTATTCATATCAAATCAACTAGTGAAAAGGGTGATATTTATGATCTTTACAATAATCAAAACTTGATCCTGATTTCCAATAGTTTCAGTGACAGGTGAAGGGGAAATGCACACTTTTGTACTTGACGGCTTGTCTTTTATTTTCTATGTTTAAAAACTCCTATCTAAGAATTAACAAGGCCTGAAAGAAAGTAGTAATCTTTTTGATAATAATGCTTCAGAAGAAGTAGAGCAAAGAAAGAGCACAGGGATGAAATTGATTTATACCAATAATGCAGAAAGGACTTATATTAAATCTGCATCCTATCATACATCCATTAAAAAAGAGAATTCAGTTTCGATTAAAATGGGCTGCCAAGTTATCATGAGTTCATTTTGTACTATTGTCTTTTCAAGAGTCAAAGGAAGATTTCAGTGCTCAAAACTATAATCAGTGAAAATGGTGATTTAAAAATTACATACTACAAATTAAAAAGTGTAGACAACTTCTATTACAGCATTACTTCAGTCCAAATTCTAATCCTTAAATCCACACCAATGACTGAGGTGATATAAAATTCAGTTTGTGACTCTGAAGTCACAATGTCTGATTTAAAAGAATTGTAATATTTTAATTTTAGATGTGCCCCTGTTACAGTAAACATTTGAGCTTTGAAAATGTTACCCAGAGACAAATATATATGAAGTTGTTTGACATTACAAAGAAGATTGAAATTCTATCCTTTCTGAAAACCTGCAATATACTTTCTTATATAGTCTAGCTTCATTCACTCCACTGACAAACACACTGACCCAGTGCTCAGCCATGATTAAATGTCATAAATCATTGAGGTTGAAATTGCTTATCGTAGAGTGTTTCTTGTTCATGTGATGTTTCTGGCAGTTACAAATCAAATTTAAATAGTGCAAATTTCATAAAAACAATTAAATAAAGATCACAAGAATGCAATTGGTTTTATTTCACTCATCTAGATACTGTGAACTAGCAAGCTGTATTACATACATTGCAAAAGGAAATTGAAAGCAATGTAAAACAGACTGCACAGTCACTATGAACCCATTTCATGCTATTGTCAAAAACAAAATTTCACCCTAGCACATGCTTGAAGAGTCTGCAATAGCATCATTGCAAAGATTTTTTTCAGAACTACATTCTGAAGCAATATTTGATATCAAAGGGGAAGGACTTCACTTTGTGAAGCAAAATTACAAATATGTTCTTTAGTTTCTGCTTTTGTTACAAATAGCAAATAAAAACACATACACACTCATACATTAGTCATACAAACTAGCATTAAAAACAATCATCTTTATTTCCACTTGAGAAATTATGGGTTCCCAGAATTGTCCAAGGGTTTCCTTGTTCAGCCACCATAGGTTTAGTGGAATGCTCATACAGACCATCTGAATGGGTTTTATGTCAAAGTTGCCCTGACTGAGAAGCTTAATTATTGAACCATATACTGTTCTATTGCTTAAATTTTCTGTTAGATTATTTCACTCCATATATTCTGAAGGTTATAAAGGTTAAGCGTCAGTGTCTATTATTTAATGCAGTAGTGTTTAAGCAATCTTTTAAAGGGAAGAAATTCCATAAAAGTGTCAATCTTAATGTTCTTTAACACCTCCTTTAGAATTAAAACTTTATTACAAATCTTTTTACAAAATAAAACCCATGATACCCACGACTGACTTAAAAGTAGTGGCCAATGCTTGAAATATAAGTACTTGCTGAATAGCATTTGGTAACAATGTGCAAATTCTATAACGAAAACCCTATATTGTGTGACAAAAAAAAAAATCTTCCTTGTAAATAACATATTTTATACCAACTATTTCATTGAAGATTCATTTTAGTTAGTCAGAATTTGACATAAAATGAAATCTATATCGGAAATGGAAGTTATAACTGTGATCCAGTAGCATAATAAGTTCCCTTCAAGTATAATGGTGCATCCTGATATTACACTTTGCTGCAGCTTTGAAGCATATTTATTTATATCCTTGTTATTAAGTTTTTTGAGGAGATAAGGAAATGTGACAGTTTTTTTAAAATCAGGGCTAATATAAGCCATTCATCCTGATGGCATTTATCTTTAAATAGTTATTATTATTTAATGTTTTCCCCCTTCTTCTCCAAACAATGAGATTCTCCTTGACGTTACAGCATTACATTCCAAGCACCGGCATCAAATCTGAACCACTTTCTGGACTCACATTCAAGCCCACATGTTGTCCTTAAGCAAAGACTTACAATTTCTCTGGAATGCTAACCTGAAGCAGATGGTTCCACTACCAGAAACTTAGGTTCGCATACTGTTTAAAAAAAAATGCTCTTTCTGTGTGGTGTGTCAGTCATTTAGAATGAATCTACAACATGCGGTGAACAGAAATCCCTTATTGGAAGGGTGAAGTCTGGGCCATCCTCCAAAGTTTGATATCTTTTCCATGCATGTCTGCACTTTAGGACCTGTACACAATCTCAAGATGTAGAAAAATGTGTTGCACAGTCAAAGAAATAAATCATTAAAATCAACAAGTTTTATTAAATATCACCACTTAGCTGTGATGTTTCCTTTAGTGAATTGTTTATCATAATAAAGTGAACCTTACAGGTCAGGAAACCCATGAATCTGTGACAGGCTACCACCATTACTGAAAGTCAGATTATAGCCAGCACCAGACACTTCCCAAACATAATTACAAAAATCAGAATCTATCTATTCAAAACTTCCTACTTGATCCCCTCATTGAATCAGCTAGCTAAAATTATAATCAGCCAGCAAAAGCTGGACAGCAATTACCAACAGCCAGTCAGTGGCACCCAACTTTAGATAATCAATTCACAGCTAAATTGGGTGGACTGGAAGATGAAGTGTTTGGAGGAAGTTGAGGGATTAGTAATCAAGGGAGTGTTTGGAAGCTAGTCTCTCAAAGAAATTGAATTAACAGCTGAAACTACTACCATCTACCTCAGAGATGGAAAAAAGCTCAGTGCACTATTACGTTGCCAAGAACCATGCTTACATGGAGTTGAAGGTAGCCCATGAGATGAGAGAAGTGTGCTTCATAGCCTGGCTGTAGGTAACTTCAATAGGGCCTACAAGTATCTTCAGTTTCCCTGTTGGGATTAAAGGGTATTTTCTCCCACCCCATTCCCCTATTCATTGTCGTAATACTTGCATTCCTTCCCAGTCTAGGTTGGCACAGTGTCCTACCCCTGCTTCCCCAAAGTTGCCAGTTGATCCCTATTCTGCCATTTCTAATTGGACTCCCTACGCTGTCATTGCCTTTCCTCCTCCAACAACAAAACTCTGAGTTACTCTTCCCACATTCCACTGCCAAAGTAAATGCCACCATTATCTGCTTTAACCCTATCTGAATGGTGATGCTGCTCCTATTTAATTCTGGTACTATCCTGGTAAAAGATGAATTGATTGATGGTTACATGTTATGGGTACATTTTTTTTTCCTTGTACTACGCCAGAAGCAAGCTACAATAGGTGAGGCAGGAACGCTTGATTGGGAGATTGTATGGCAATTTAGGACCATTCATTAATTACATCTATGATAGTGCATGGGACTGGTTCAGTCAAGTGGGCAAAAGCTTAAAGTGATCATACACCAAAACCTTAGGTAGACTCTCCACTGCATGAGAACAGGAGATAATGATGGAAAACCTGAAAACTAGATAAAATGGTATGTAAACATCGAATGCATGAAGTTATAGTTCTGTGCTGAACCTCAGTGTGACCAATGTATTTCTAAATCTTCCTGATTAAGAGTTTGTGTGAAATATACATTAATGTTATCAATATTATTTTTGGTTGTAAAACCTACCAAAACAATACCATAATAAGTCATTTAAGGACTGTCTGTCTTTTGGTGCATCATTGATGAACATTTTCTTGGTACTTAATAACGTGTAACTAGGTGCAAATTTCAAAAAATGCAGAAAATATTCCTTTGTCCATATATAGTTTATTTTCAAATAGATCTTAAAACCTTTCTGTGCATCCGTCCAGATATCTTCAATTCTACATATTTATGTATTCCATTTTAAAATGTTAAACATTCACAGAAAAATCATATTTATAAATAATTTACAAGATATGTTTTGAGAATCATACTTGATTTGTAGCATGTAAAGGATAGAATATGAAAGCTTTAATAATAAAAATAAAATAACCATTGCAATTTTTGTAGAATAAATGTTTTATATGCAAATACATTTTGGATAAACTTAGGTTTCTCTTTTTAGTAATATATTATAGTTAAATAATTAGGTCATACCTCAAATGAAATGAATATTTATTTTCTATCACTAAGAAAATTTATATTATTTACTTATCTTACTTTGTAAAACAAGTACAACTTCTGGCAATGCTTCAGTTTTTAAATTAATTTAAATGTTGTATTTTATATGTAGTTGATTCAGTTTTGCCAATTAGCCTGTCAATGCAATACTGATCAGTAAGGACCAAAGGAAAATTTTCAAAAAGTTTAACTTCTGAAATAAATATTAACTATTGATTGATCGTTAATCACTTTGTTTTTCATTTCATTGTACTACTTACGCTGGGATACACTAAACTTGACAGGCTTTCAAAGGCTTTAATGTTTGTTGTTGTAAATACACTTTTCTGTTAAAAGTAGCAATATGTACTGTGCTGAGACAATTATATGTTGTCATAATGCAGTTGTATCGTTGGTGAAAGTTTAAAAAAATGAAGATTTTCTTTTTCAACTTTATTCAGCAATAAATGATCAAAAACTTGTTGTCCAATTTTGAAGAATGCTTGCAGTTTATGTTGAATTACTGCTATCTTCTGAAGTTACTGTCATAAATTTATCTGTAAATGAAGAGTCTCTACTTTGTGAAACAGAATATTCTAATTAAAATAACTGTTCTTAAATGTACTTACTTTGTATTATTCCATAAATTGAGCTAAATTGTTGAATAACTGAGTGAATTATTATGCAAGTAAACGGACAGTCAAGAAGGGAAGAGATATTCAGTTCTTCAAAACCTAGATCTTTAATACTCTTTAGTCCAGCATCCAAAAACATTTGAACTGCCTTCACTATGCAATGGTACAAGAACTTCAAAAGCCCAAGTAACTTGCTTCAGACATTTTGCATCACAAAGCTATTCCATACTTGGATGATTCCTTTAATATTTATTTTCTTAAGAATATCTTGCTTTCCTCGAAACCACTTATGTGTGTAATAATCCTTGTTCTTGTTTGAACATTTAACGTTTAACCAACTTCATATAATAAAACCTATTTAGTCCCGCGCTCCCTTTTGCCAATTCCTGTATGGATGCAGCTATTTTAGCTCAATCTTTCAAAAGGATCCTACAATAAGTAAACAATCCCGTGATCTATCTGGCACATGCACAGGCCTTGACAGTCACTCTATTGTCTCCAATTGACTGCGGGAATGTTCCCACTTTTTATTCGGGCTTGCTTTAAAGAGAGCTGCTTCCAGCAGCTTGAAGATATGCAGTAAAGCATTATGTGTTCTTTTTCGGAGCTGATAAGGACCACAATCAGAAGATCATCCATATGTTGGATTACTGTGCTGTTTCTTAAATGTCATAATTTTCCATTAAGTGCTTGAAATAGCAATCTTTATCAAATGACTTATCAGACTCAATTTCAGAAACAAATATGATAAATAACATAACAGATAAATAACAGTTCCGAGGAAGGGTCACCGGACCCGAAACGTTAACTCTGTTTTCTCCTCCACAGATGCTGCCAGACCTGCTGAGCTTTTCCAGCAACTTTGTTTTTGTTCCTGATTTACAGCATCCGCAGTTCTTTTGGTTTTTATGATAAATAACATAATTATCAGGCTCAGTGATTTTAAACAAAGCTTCTTAGATCCAAGATACAAGTAATTGGGGTGAGTCTAAGGTTCTTCTATTCTCAAACACTTTGTCTCAAAAAGCTAGCACATGGTCATGGGCAAGTCTCTGAAAGGCAAAGCCTTTAGTTGAAATTGGATGGATGTAAATTTAAAAAAGCACACATCTAGCAATATGGAAAGTAAAAGAAAGATGCCAACACAAAGTGTTAAATCAGCTGTTGTGAGAAGGGTCAGGGCACCGAGTGATATAATGTCTTAATTTCACTTTGTTTTAGAAATCTGATATCATATTGGATGTCTGACAAAATACAGCTTACCTGTGTTTGTAACAACTTGAGCTTGTACAACGCAAAAACATTGTTTTCAAATTAAAATCAAGAAGTACAGTTTGCACCATTTCGAAACATTTGTTCAACCTTTCCTATAACTAAAATAATCTTTGACTATAGAATGAATTACTGCCTTTTTGCACTGTGGTGTGTGGCCCAAATAGTGTGTGGCCCCAGTCAATTGGAGGCAATGCAGAGACTTTCAAGGCCCTGGATGTGCCAGATAGATCTTGGGATTGTTTACTTATTGCAGGACCCTTTTTGAAGGATTTAGATAATATAGCTGTACCTTTGCAAGATCTGGCAGAAGGGAGCGCAGAGCTAAAGAGGTTGTATCAGTTGAAGTTGGTTTAACGTTAAGTGTTCAATCAAGAATAGTGATGAAATAGCCCTGTTTTCTTTTCATTTTTCAACTGTTTCTATCTTATCCTCATTAAAGCTTAACTCACAGTTGTTTCTTATATTAGTACTAACTCATCTTCACAATTACAAATAGAAAGTGGTGATGATCATTACCGTCTTGTTTTTCTTTTTCTGATCCATCAACCAATTTTTTTTGTTCTCCGGGGTACCCTGTGGATTCCACTTATCTTTCAGCATCCTCTTTATTATTTTTGATGGTTATTCTGCTATAAACCAGGTGATGGTGCCCTCTGACCCCTGTTCGAAGTTTACAGCCTCTCCCTGTTCCACGAACCACATCTCGCACAATTCCAACTTGAGTAATTTATTTCGCCTGCCTGCAGTGTGCTATCTTTCTGGTTAGCACAGTTTCGGCCTCACGGTGCAACTAATGGTTCCTGAACGGGTCTGACCTCTTGGTGTGGCTTTTTGCCTTTTCTCACTTCACACTCTCCCATCCTGCCAGCCCAGATCTACCCCCTTATCTGCCACCTGTTGTCCTGAGCCTGCCTTCAGATTCTTTGGATTTCACCTACATCTGCCTGGTATAGCTCTCTGCTCTAATTATAGGTGGTAAATTGAAACATACTAACCCAAGTGCAATGCTAGTGCCTGGGATGTGACAATGACCACCTATAACTACACCAAACTGTTACAGGGTTACTTAAAACATTGATAGAGGACTCCAAGAGCACAATTGATGACAGTTTATTTGAATGGTGCATAGAGTGATAGTTAACTGTGATTAAAAGTCCTTCTCCTCACGTGCATGAAATAAATGATTGTCAAGTACCCCCACAACACACGCGTTAGAGAAGATGTAACAACCCCTTGGACCAGGTTCTAAGATGCCATGGCAGTAGGCAGTGACCTTTGTAGCTGGTTCCCCGTAGCTGCAGTTACGATGAGATTCAGTTAAACAAGAGATGATATAAAATAGCAATACATTTAAGAATGATAACTTGCAATTGGAGTGAAGTGTCAGCTGTGCCACCTATGTGTTTCTTCTACATTCCCCTCCCTCCTACTGCGTGCCCTGTAGGAGCTGATAGACACCAGTGCCTTCGACAGTGACTACATCTTCAACAAATGTTGGCTGCTTGAGAAACTTTGGCTTAGAGTTGATTAGCCGAAGTCTGCACCGTGGATGCTACAACACATCAGGGGAGGAGCGAGGTACCTGGACCCTGTGTTCCAGGAGGCAGTCACACCTATTAGATTCATTGCATTAAAGTTGGTCCAGAGTGAGGCGTAGGAGGTTGTGACAGCAAATGAGGCAGGTATAGGGATCCAGAACTTAGTTTTGGAGAAGCCTCAGCCAGTACCATTATCCCATAGCTACAAGGCCCTGGTTCCCAGTGTCGACAAAGTCACAAACTGCAGGGAGAATGAGCGAAGTGACTGCAGTGCCGTGGTATGGATTGCCATTCAAGTGAGTGGAGGAAAGAGAAATGCAGTAGTAATAGGAGATATCACAGGGGAATGGATACTGCTCTCTGCAGCAAAGACAGAGGGCCTGTGTTGATTAGATAGTACCGACGTTCAGGACATTTCTTATAGTTGGAGAAGAACTTGGAGTGGGAGGAAAAGGATCCAGTTGTCATGGTCCACCAACAACATGGATAGGACTGGTAAAAAGGTTCAGCTGAGGGAATACAAGCAGCTTAGAATTAAATTGAAAAACAGAACCAAAGTAATAATCTCTGATTTACTACCTGAGATATGTGCAAATTGGCATAGGATAAATAAGATTAGAGAGGTAAATGCATGGCTGAAAGATTGGTAGTGGGGAACAGAGCATTGTTCCGTTGGGACATTTGAACCATGCTGGGACCAGTGTCCTGGCGA